AGCTCGGTAGGGGCCGATGTGAGCTACTGTCAGCGGCGTGATTATCGAGTGTAACCGTCGGTCCCGAGATTACCGGGTGTAACCGACGGTCCCGAGATTACCGGGTGTAACCGTCGCGAGATTAGCGGGACTACCACCCATAAGTAGAGGACCTCACTCCACGATCAGGTACGATGATTTTCTGACCTCGAACTAAACTGGGAATCCGACCTATACTGACTTGATCGTCGGAGTGCTCACCTTTTTGTGCAGGTCCGCCCAAGTATTCAAATCGGTCCGGAGGCMGAGTTCGAGCTGCAATCTGAAATACACTGTTGTGCATATCCTTGCATAAACATTTGGCGCCGTCTGTGGGRACGACAATCTAAGTCATCCCAATTCTTTTAAACCAACACGCAAGCGAAAATGGTTCAACCCGCAAACTTGACCAATACGGCAGATCGGAGGACCCTAGCTGCCAGCGATGCCCACCAGAGGGAGGTCAGAGCAGCAGTGGTAGAGGGGCAAGGTCACGACGGCCTAGCAACAGAACCCCTCCGCAGGTCGGCACGAATCACCGCGCCTGTTCTACCACCTGCGCACCCCCAAGGACATCCAAGGCCACCCGTGGCCGAGGTGGAACCTCTAAGAAGGGCGCCTGGGGTCCAGCCCCGGCCCCGACAAGTGAGAACTTGGACGCACTCCAGAGAGAAATGGAGGCAATGCGCACAAAAATGCGGTCCATGGAGGAAATGTATAACGAAATGATATTAGCTGCAGGCGCAGGGTCCCGATTTGAGAACCGAGTGACGCGCGTTGGGATACGCGAGCAAAGGGGTTCCCACCTCGGCCAAGTCGAGGAGGAACATCCCGAAGACAACGAGAGCGAGGGACACACTCGCCAGAGAAGAGACCTCCGCGAACACCTCAACATAAAGAGAGGCTCATCTCTCTGAAAAGGACAGTCACCATCCCGCTCACACAGGAGCTCCAACCAGCAGGCTGAATCCTCTCGCAACCCAGCAACTCCTGCAGGAGTGATTACAAGG